TCCTCGTAGGAGAGATGCTCCAGTCCCCTCATCATCCTCGTAGCCCTCCGCTGGACTCTCTCCAGTAGCTCCTCATCTTTCTTGAACTGGGGAGCCCAGAACTGGACACAGGATTCCAGATGGGGCCTCACTAGGGCAGAGGAGAGGGGAAGGAGAACCTCCCTCGACCTGCTGGCCACACTCTTCTTAATGCACCCCAGGAGACCACTGGCTGGCATGGCAACCAGGGCATGCTCCCAGCTCATGGTCAACTTGTCATCCACCAGCACACCCAAGTCCCCATCACATGAAATCAGATCCTACTTCTTTGTACAGTGGCTCTACAAGAATGAGGAAGAAACAAGCTTTTGTGAAAGCGCCTTAACACCACCTAGAAATGTAAAACTCGGGTTAAACTCCTGCTAACAAAGGGGAAAAAAGCATTGCCTACACAGAATTAATAGTGTCTCTTTCACTACACTCTCACTCCCAAAGCTCCAAAATCTGGCTATTTCAGCTATAGGTCAAAACCATTTATATCACACCAACCAGCCTCAAGCTGCACCGACTAAGAGCACGTGAACTTCACACCTCACCTCTGAAAGCTCCTCTTGGCCACAACTTCAGCATGGCTGTCATTCAGAATATCTCCTAAAACAACCACCAAAACAGAACAATACACGTCATTAATCAAAAGGAGACCAACAAAGCAAACAGAAATTGGCAGAAGACAGTTCTCCAGAGTTGTTACCATCTGAAGGTTTAACGTTGGTGTTAGGTTATTTCAAGATATTTAAACTTCCAATCACTACAAAAGGAGGTCAGTAGCCTACACAAATGAAGGATAAAAGTCTTCGCTTTGCAGCAAGTCAGAGACTTCTTTAAATACCAAATTTTAATTCTTCTGATATCTGAAATCCTTTGAGTTGAATAAACACTGGCTTCCTTCAAATCCTTCCTGATGTTTCTTATTAACAGTAAGTCTTAATATTCTCAGATTAAGCATAGCATCCAGATAATTTCAAGTGTTTGTTAAGCTTCTGGTTGAAGTTTCTTGTTGCACTATGGTCTACAACTGACATCACTTCTCTTGTGATATTTATCAGGTTTACACATCTTATCTTCAAACTTCCTGCAGTGTCTGCCCGTTGTGGTATCTAAGGGAACGGGATCTGTTGATCACCTTTTATTTCAGGAATAAAAGCACAGGTGATAAAAGTCCTCTATAACAGTTCTACAAGTTCAAAGTTTAAAAATTCTCGAATAGATAACCATTAACATGACCTACCGACCAAGTTAATTTCAAAATAAATGAATGTTATCACAAGAGGAAAATATTTTCTAAACTTAAGATCACTGAAGACAAATAACAGAGAGAGGAACCAGCCTTACTTTTTTCTGGTAAAATTTCTACTTTGACTCTTAATACCTAAATTGTAAGTAGTACCACAGTTTAATCACAATTTTCCTAAATCAATCAGAAAAATGTCTGTACTAATACTCTTTTAAGATAGTTAAGTTGCAAGAAACATCCACAAAAATCTAAGATACAGAATTCAGTTTCCTCTCTTCTGTTCCACTAATTCATTTCAATATGAAGGACATTACACAGAACACAAAATAGCCTAAAGCTGATGCATGCAAAACTGTTTCTCCCACCTTCCTCTACTCCTCTGAAGCCTAAAGTAGGCAGAAAACCCTGTATCTACATATTCGCAAACCCCTTTCCTCCTTAGTCACTTTTCAGCATTAATTACTAGGACTTCTCCCCTCTCCTAGGAGAGGAGACAGGCACATTATGGAAAAAAAAAAAAAAATGGACATGCAGAGCAAAGCAAGTCCTACACTAAATGGTAAGAAATGGTAGCTGTGGGAAGTCATTTATCTAGCCCATACATTTATTGTATAAACACCTAAAACTCTCTAGCTGCAGAATATACGGTAAGGGAGAAAATACCTGTCAGTACCTTTCTGGTAACAGCCCTACCCTAACTCAGCAGTGGTACCTTCTGTATCAGACCGCAATAAAACTAGACTGTAACAGGTGCCTGACACGCAATTATTTTACTTCTGTTTTGCTTTTAGTTATGAAGTCTTTGGGTATGCAGGCTCAGGGTCCAAACTACACATTCCCACACATAAAAAGTTTATCCACCCTTAAGGCAGCAAGTGCAGCAAACTTCCAGGGCAGCCATTCTGGCTGCCTACGCCCCTCTCTTCTCGACAAGGTGAGGTCTGCCTTACACTTCTGGCTTCAATCCAGAAGCCTCAGCTCAATGCCTTGGACATTTTCACTGATTCTATGACACTAGCAAGGAAGCAGGTAGCATCAGTAGTCTGTTCTTGGATTTCACACCATACTTACCAGTTTTTCTCATTTTGTTTTGGCCAATACATTTTGTCCCAGTTCCCATAGCAACAACTTCCTTTGTTACTGAAAAAAGAAACAACATCAACCTAATAAACTATCACCAGAAGCACTGCTCTCATACAGTCGTTCTGGTAAGACAACACACAGAAGGCTGGGTAGAAGGGAAACTACAGGGAGGCACGCCATGCCACACTCCCGAGGAGGAAACAGTATCAGCTGGAGAACTGAACATAGTAGGCAGAAGCACCAGTGCTAGGAAAAGTCTATGATCCCATAGCAGGAGTGCCAACACAGGCTCAATATGCTCAGCAACGCACAGTGGACACTGGCATAGGATTCTTCAGACCCGTAAGAAAGAAGCACAGGGTACAAGCTGCATGACAACATGGAAGTGCCAGTAAGGGAAAAGAAGATGACGGTGAACTAACAGAAACGCACAACGTAATAACACAGTCTGCTAAAGGAGAGCGAACTGAGACCTTTCCAGGATTCTGTCAAACAGTAGCCAAACACACTTTTGCAAGGGTTTACATTAGGAATTCAGGTCCTGCCTAGAGTTTTGCCACTAACTGAGCAGCCAAATGCAGGCTTTCATCTTCTTAGTTACAGTCTGCAAAGAACAGCATTTCACTTGAACCATCTCTTTCCAGACAGAAGCTGTAAAAGCTTTTACAATCACAAAGAGCAAAGAATTTGGGTGGAGACAGAACTGGGACAGGAAAGGGTTTGTGTTTTTTTTTAAAGGTATCTTGGAAAAAAAAAAATGCAAAAAAAAAAAAGGCCCAAGGACTGTCCCCTCCTCTCCCCCTTCCCCCTCCCGCCCCAATCCCCACAGCTCATTCTTACCCTGCAGACTCCGCGGACCAGCAAGAACCCCACTTTGGGTTGCAGACTCCACTTTGACAACAGCTGCCAGTGAAGTCCACTCCCTGCTTGGATCTGGTTTCCCCTGCTTAGGGAGTCTGGTCCTATAATGCAGGTAGCACAGCTCAGCAATATCATCAGCTGACCACATGGCTCCTGGTGCAAGCGCGGGTTCTGAACAGATTGCAGTCCGTCACAACACCGATTAACGACCCCCATCCCTTCAAACCCTACTGCCTTGTTCTGCACAGCACCTTCCCACACCAGATTCCAGTCACAGAATCACAGAATGTTCGGGGTTGGAAGGGACCTCTGTGGGTCACCCAGTCCAACTCCCTGCTGAAGCAGGGTCACCTAGACTAGGCTGCACAGGACCTCATCCAGGCAGGTCTTGAATATCTCCAGAGAGGGAGACCCCACAGCCTCTCCAAACAGCCTGTTCCAGGGCTCTGTCACCCTCAGAGGGAAGTTCTTCCTCATGTTCAGATGGAGCTTCCTGTGCTTCAGTTTGTGCCCGTTGCCCCTTGTCCTGTCTCTGGGCACCAATGAAAAGAGTCTGGCCCTGTCCTCCTGACACCCACTCTTCAGATATTTAGAGGCATTTCTAAGGTCCCCTCTCACCCTTCTCTTCTTCAGGCTACACAAGCCCAGCCCCTCAGCCTTTCCTCGTAGGAGAGATGCTCCAGTCCCCTCATCATCCTTGTATCCAAGGCATAATTGCATCACCCCTTTCAGGGTTATTTATAAGAAAGATATTTTATGAAATGAATTCTTTTTTCAAAA